AGATCAAATTTAAATGTGTCAGAGTTTTTAAGTAGTTACTGATTTGCGGATGAAGTTGTAACATTTGAATGTGAAGCAAAAGCAGAAAGAATTAATTCTGTCATGTTGACCAGAAAGCTTCAGCTTATTTGCCATAAGCTGATTTCTGGTGAGAGGGAAAAGCTGCATTATCCATTTTTGAACCATTAATAAATGAATAACAAATAAATAAAATACCTGGCTTTGCTTGTTGAATTTTGGATTCAACTATTTATTTGGTTCCAAAACACTGCCCTTGCGTGAGACAGCAGATCCAGTGAATGCTGCTAATTAATAAAAAAGCATCTCAGAGTTTAAATCCGTTGTTTACTTTTCGGTGTCAGACTTGGGTTTGTAGGAAAGCCACTAACCTTTGATACGAGCTGTCATTGCTGCATAATCTTTATCAATTCAGCCCCAAATTTAAGACGGTCTTCTTCAAAGCGCATCAAAACTTCATTAACTCTCTTAATACAGACAAGCGGGTAACAGCTAAGCTGAAATGTGAACGCCACAGAGAAAGTACAATAAAACTCTTAAAGAACTGAGGGTAAAGTGTGGCGCTAAGAAAACAGCAGCTGAACTTCCTCTTCAAGCAAAATATCAGTAGTTGCTTGGGTAAACTTCTGTAGTTTTATCTTTGGCAGGTCCAGTGTTGACAATACTTGATATATGCACCAAATTCAGTGTAATATATTTCCCAATGTGCTTTAAAACAGCTGTGTTGCTGCTCAGGTTCCTTTTAGGTAAAGGAGTGAATGCATTATTTGAAACAGAAGAATGTATGGATTAACTAAGTGGGCCATGGAGAAAACAATGGAAGCCATGAGAGTTTATCCATTTCCTATGATAACTTGCCAGCGACTGGTAAGCACCCAGCATGGATGGCTTTCATTTCCTTCTTATCCATCTCCCCCTCTTTCTTTGGTGGAGAAAAACCTCCCCGAATCTTCAGCGAGTGACACTTCTTTCAATTCCTGGTGCTCATCCAAAATATTCCATTTGGATGAAGACGAAATGAATACCAGTGGGAACAAATTAGCCGGTCACTAATTAGCTCTTAAGCTAATGCTGAATGTCATGTGTTAAAGGAGGGTTAAAGGGGTGTCAATGAATGGTGGTGGCGCGCAGTCTTCAGGTCATCACACAAACACACATCCAGGCCCTTTCAAATGGGGGCATCGGCATCAAGAGCTTTGTGTCTCAGTAAATATTAGTTCTGCTCAGCTCGCACTCAGCAGATAAAGTCCTCAGTGTGGGAGGCGGAGTCCGAGCAGTTTCCTCTTAGACCTGACGGAGGGTACCAGGGGACTAGACTAATTTTACAGCCTTCAGAAAGAAATTGGATGGGTGCAAATGAAAAGAAATGGGTGAATGTTCAATTCTGGTCACACTGGACTAGAATAATTACACGGTATACAAAAGAAAATACATCACAGTAACAAATGGTGCACCACATGTACAAACACATTATTTCACTGCTACAAGTTATACCACAAAATGCATTTCCCCACAAATTTAGACACATATAGAAAATACCCACAGTCTGTCAACTCACATTGTACAATCAACTCCACTATGGCCTCCCGGGGCTTCACGTTGAACCCGTTATACTGGCTGGTCTGGCAGCGGTACGAGCCCGTCATCTCCCTGGACACATTAACAATACGCAGCACGCCGTCGTAGCTCTCCATCTGCATGCTGCCGTCTGGCATGGGCGCTTCCTTATCCGCTCGCGACCACAGGATGATCGGCTTGGGCTTCCCTGAAACAAGGCACTCCAGCTCCACTGTGTCACCCTCGCGGGCCACCAGGGGAGACTTGCCCCGTGGGACTGTCAGGTTGGGGGGAACTAAGAAAGAGAAAAACAAAGGAGGGACTGATATGGGGCTCTAGAAAGTCAGCAGGCGGGGTAAGAGGAAATAGTCAACTTGGGGAAAGTTGTGGCGAAAAAGGAATGGAGGGGGAAGCGAATGAGCAAGTTGCGATGGCAATGAAGCAGCATCTCAGCAACATACACAGCTTTTATGGAAGCACCATGCGGATATTAGCAACAGTAATGTCTAACGGCTGGGACTAGACAGTCTGAACATGTACTCTATGCAAAACCACCACGAAGGACAGCAGTGAGAAGGTTTAATGCTATCAAGCGATGGCAAACGATGAACAATGCAATGAGCGGACAAGCAAATTCTAAATAGTTAATGACAGCCTTCATTAGCTAAACAAGTCCAGGTACTAAAAAGACTAAGGAATGTAGACCATGCAGTAAACTACAGAGTAAGAGTTCTGTTTGCACATCCACTCTGAATGCATGAAGATCAGGCAGATTAGGCCTCACAAGGGATTAGTCCAGTGAAATCTAAGACACAGTTCACAATCAGCGCAGCAACCGATGTTCAACTGGATTGAATAAAACAGTTACAAAATAAACATGCAGAGGAGAAAAGTAAGACATGATCTTTCTATATATATGTATATAAAACAAAAGCAAACCAGCAGTTCAACAGTTTGTAAAGCACTCCTGTTGCCTTTGATGCCAGGAGTTAGATTGATTCCAAGCTTGTGTTTAGACATGATTGTGGGCCATTGTAAATCACAAAACCAAGAGAAGAGATTTCTTTGTAACTACAAAGTCGGGATCTTCATATGAGCTATCCTTACACTTCTAATACACTCTCAGCAGTAGCAGCACTGGCATTACAATCAACAGCCAAACAGCATTGTTACTTTCACTGTCACATTTTCATCATCTCCTCGCTTTCCCATCACAAAACTCTTTTTCTGAGACGTTTTCCGCAGCTAAAATCGCTTTAACATTCATAGTTGCATCATCGCAATCAATCGTCACAGCTTTTTACTTCCCTACCCTCCTCCTATCCTTGTCGTGCAGCCACTCTGTCTCAATCTAGCACCCCATAATTTAGAGCATTTACAAGAGAACCCTCCCAAAGGTGATGCAGCACTGAGCCTGGCCATGTAACACAAATATGACCCAATAAACAGATACCTGCCTTTTTTACAACAGGTATTTTAGAGTCTGGGTGAGTGCAAACAATTAATAATAAAAAAGAGGAAGAAGATTTGCAGATATCCTTGAGCGTGTTTATGCGTGCATCTGTCTTTTCTAAGTGTGGAAGGCAGGAAATCTAGCAGGTTGGATCAAACAGTCTGGTTCCTCACCAAGCGTGCTGGCCAAGTAAATTTGTTTAATTAGTAAACCTGGCAAATTGCGCCAGCTCCTAGAGTGCTGTGTATGTGTATAAGTGTGTTCGTGTGCGAGTCCAAATCATCAACAGACTCCAGCTCTGTTTTGTAGCACTGTTCCCAAAAATAGTTTACAGCCAGCAATTTGAGGAGTGAAAATCTTCTCAGCAATGATGAAACCGTGTCGTGCTTCCCTGATGATTTTCGAATCACTGTCATTCTGCCCAAACAATGCCGCAGCTGGAATGGAGTCAAGCCACATTGGAGTTTCGCAGTGATGAAATCACCAGCAATCTCACGAAAACGAAACAGAGTCCAGCTATAGTTCTTTGAGCCCCATTTTTTGCATGGGTAAGAGGTGAGAATCCTGCAGCTGTTTCACTGCTCCAGCTCCAGGTCAGATTCCTTTTGTCCTCCCCCCAGAGTCGTGGATAAATTATCGCACTGTCGGAAACAAGGCAATCTCATGATCCTTCTTATTAGGTTGGGCCTTTTAAAGACTCCGTGGCACTCTAAAATTAGCTCATTGTTGAAAGCTCGGCAATTATGACCAAAAATTGAATAAATGCTGTAAACAGGGCATGCTGTCAGACAATCTTATTCGCAGATTTTTTTTTTTTAAGAATGAGAACCAAGCTGCAATTATTAATTGATTTAAAAACTGGAAATAAACAATGTTTGGAGTAATGTGATAAACATGTTAGCAAATGCGTGCCCACTTCCATGAGGCACGGAGAAATAAATAGGCTACAGAATCAAAACAATGAGCTGAAAAATACTAAAAAATACTAACATTCTGTAGAGTTGGATGATAATTCTCTATGATGACATCACACTACTTTCATTTTCTGTCATTCCAATAACATCTATTACTACAGTATCTGGATAACAGGTTAGGCTATTACCTAACTCCGCACATAAACCAGATCATGAGCCAGTGAGTACCAAAAAAAAACATGCTGGTGTGATTTGCATGAAATAATGAAGTCTGGTCATTCATAGATAAAATACTGGCATTGTGTTTGGCGCTACAGTGACGGCGGACCCTCATTTCATCCTTGCACATTTGCTGATTTTTTTTTATTCACACAATGTCTCAATTTTAACAGCAAAGGTTCAAATCCACTTTGCTATTCAGAACATTTCTTTGGGTTAAAACAGCGAAGTAGTGAGTTTGAAAGGACAGGAGAGGAGCAGCAAGCATCCATTAGAGTGTGGAGGAGAGGTTTATTCACCGTGTTGCCATCATTACACCTGGCCTCTCCACTGCCCAGATTAGGCAGGCAATTACAGTTTGTCTACCTGTTGGGTTTGGCAGCACAAATACTGGCTATCAGCTGCCATTGTCTCTCCTCACACCACGATGGAGAAAAAAAAAAACAGACAGGCATACATGCACTCAGAAACTCGCACATCCTTCTCTCTTGCTTACTCCGTACATTACTCTTCCTCTTGCTCTGTTTTTTCCAAGTGAACACCCTGCCTCAGTGTTTGAGTCTGACCACTGCGATGCTCAGTGTGGCAGGGAGCCTGCTACTGGTTTTCACTGTGCTCTCATTGTGCCAGAGCCATCCAAATGCCAGTGATGCCTGCGAGGCATGCCCGCTGTGTGCGTACGTCTTTGCAGTGCGCGTGCGTCCGCGCGGTTAATGTCTCTGCACGTGCACGTGTGCGCGTATCGCTCGCTGCTTCTCTCCTCGCCCACGGGTGACACCATGCTGTGATCCTGCCTCAGTTCCTCAATGAGATGCGATGCTTCTTCTCTTTGCTACGGAGCTAAAAACACTGTGCGTATGTATCTGTAGGTTTATGGGTTAAATCAAGATAGGACCTTCTAGTCTGGCCTCAGCATTGCGCTGGAATGATCCTTCAAACGTAGCTTTTAATTATGATCCATCAGCACCGCAGCGGACGCAGAACAACATGAGCTAACTGCAAAAAGGTAGAAATAACTGGCGCTTTGAATTTTCTTACAGCGACAGGATCCAGAGTGATGTTTTAGAGAATAAACATTCCCGCTGCCCCCTTTTTTCGGGTAAGTGCTATGACATCACTCCTCGTCACCATGGCAACATAGTGCTCTCTACTAAACCAGGTCCTGCAGTGTGTGTGCGTGTGTGTGTGTGTGTGTGTGTGTGTGTGTGTGTATGCATGCATGTATGCATGAGACTGTGTGCTCAGACAGCTTGAGGCCAATGAGTTGGTCACAATGTGACAGGACTCTTTTCCTCAGAGTCCTGATCCTCTGGGGACAGAGTGAAGAGTCCCATAGGTGCACTGTGGACATGTTTTTGAATCTGTGTGCTTCTCTCTGTCTGTTTTGGGGGAGGCTGTATCTACACCCTGAGTCGCTGAAGTGCAATAAATATACACAGATGTGTTAAATTTGGAAGAGTGCACCCACAGACTGCTGTGACACAGCGGTGACAAGACTGACATAACAATGTGTGCGCGTTTGTGTGTGTGTGTGTTTTGAGCTCTGTGTCATTCCCCTGAGATTTCATAACCTACAATCAATCTCAAAAACTCTTCACATGGATCAGACTGTAGCACAGCAGATTTTCTACCAGTGCCGCCTTCTTTTTTTTTTTGTTTAACCAACAAAACAGAATAAAAGAAATGTCCAGTCTAAAAACAAATGCATGCAACCACTTTTCTACTGCTAAGCGGGGAACAACTCCCGTGGATGGCCCACAGTTTATGTAAATTGCTCAAGGGGCCTTCACAGTAGTTAATGAGGGAGGGAGAGTGTTTCTTATTCATGTTTCTCCGATTTTCCCAGCTGCACGGGGAGGTGATTTCCCAGATGGTCACCTCCATAAAGCATGACTGCAGGTGTTGCGGTGGAGGCTATAGGCAGGTACACTGAGCACAAATGCAGCAAGTTATCTCATCTTATTCAAATATGTTGTACTCTGAAAACAATCTGAGCTATGGATACACCCCTGCCCGCTGCTATCCAACGTCTCCAAACATCCACATAAGCGTGTTTATTAACAAACTGAAGTTTTTATTTGCGCTGGCACTCTGGGCACCGGTAATCTACCACAGGAACATCACAGGTGCTGTGCTGACATATTGTAGAAGTGGCATCTATTGTTGTCATATGGTGGATTTCTCAGGACAGTGTCCCAGCTGTGGGACAGCTGGTAAGCCCCTTCATCGCAGTTCATCGCTCACTGTTAGTCTATTGGGTCGTTCATCCAGTTTTGGGGATTGGTTCCTGTGTGCAGTTTATAATTTCATTTTCAAACCTTGGATTAATGAATTTTCGATTTTAGATGTGACTGCTCTACAAGACCAAAGACAAACTTGTTATTCAGGCCATTTGCTCAGTTAGAAAGATTTCTGTCATCTGTCACGTGACATTGCCTCAGCATACTGAAGGTGCTGGAGCTGGGATCTGCATTAAAAAGATATATGCAATTTAGAACTCTCAAAGGATTTAGGGATGTAAATAAATGGTCAACTCAGCAGAAAATGAATGTACTGTTCCATTTTGTTCCACCTCATGTTAACATGTGATGCGAATGACCAATAAAGCTCCTTGAATCCTTGAAAACTCAGCTGTAGTAGGTGGTCATATGAACCCTCCCTTTGAAACTACTACCCCTCACAGTGTTTATAACATAATTATAAAGTGACTTTTCACGCTGAATTGTGTGACGTTAC